CATTAACACTTAGGCTTAAGTTTAAGATCACCCGAGAACAAGCAAGACAAATAGTCCGCAATTGCAAAAGCTGCTTGACTTTTCTTCCTGAACAGCACTTGGGAGTGAATCCTCGGGGACTAATCCCTGGAGAAATTTGGCAAATGGACGTCACCCACATCCTCTCTTTTGGAAAACTTAAGTATGTCCATGTCACCAATGACACCTTCAGTGGTTTCATTTTTGCATCTCTTCAATCAGGAGAGGCCACCCGACATGTTATCAGCCATGTCTTGGCTTGCTTAGTAACCTTACCACAACCTAGAATTATCAAAACAGACAATGGGCCTGGTTGTACTAGTACCCATTTTAAAGAATTCTGTGCTCAACTTAAGATCAAACACGTCACAGGAATCCCATACAATCCCCAAGGCCAAGGAATTGTTGAAAGGGCACACGAAACATTGAAAAACATGTTAATAAAATTACAGTCAACTGGAGGCGCCTTGTTCCCACTCCCTGGTAACCAAAAGAATTTATTAAATCATGCCCCCTTTGTTCTCAACTACTTAATCTTGGATAAACAAGAACAGCTGCAGATCGCCTGTGGCACCCCCAAACCAGCTATGGTTACGCCCAGGCTCTATGGAAAGATCCCCTGACTTCTAAGTGGCAGGGCCCCGATCCCGTCCTCATCTGGGGCCGGGGAACAGCCTGCGTGTATGATACTAAAGCAGGAAACGCTCAATGGCTGCCAGAGCGTCTTATAAAGGCCTTTAATCCTCCCAGAGAGACTAGTAAAACAAATTAATAATAGTTCTTCCAAAGAAGATAAGACTCCTTGAGAAAGAAAAATTTTTCTTTTTAAACCCACAGGTGCTGGCTCCATGAATTGCTCAAGATTGAAAATACTGACCACTTTTGTTGTCATCACCTTTGTTGTTTGCTGCATTTTCATCGTGACGCTGATCGGTATTACAATTTATAAAGAGCTAGGCTCAAATTTCACATCATGTGGCCCATGATTCACTCGAGTCTCTGGTGGGCTTGTATCTTTATACATTTAGTTAAGAATATAGATGGTGGCCTTCAGCCATTTAATGCTACCAGGTTTATGCTAACTTGGTATGGTCCCCCTTGTGAATGTAGAGGTGTCAATTGGGGTACCATACCAACCGGTCAATATTCCCAATATGTAGATTGTGGAGACAAGACTGCATATCTTGCTATTCACGATACGCATACCCAGCAACTCAAACAGAGCTGGAAGTGTGTGTCTAAGCCCAAGCCTATCGCGCCACCAGCTAATGGTGAGTGCCCCAATGATTGTATCTTCACTCAAGCTATGCACTCATCCTGTTATACCTCCTTTACTGAATGTAATAGAAATAACACCCTGTATTTTTACTCCACGGCCATTTCTTATAAAATGGCCTCTGGGGGCTCAGATTGGACCCTTAATACTCAGGTAATAGGATCAGAAAAATATAATTCTAAAGCTCTTAGTGCGGGCTGTTATGTAGAACCTGGAAAAAAGCATGTTGGCCACAACAAGCTCCGATCCACATATCAGATGGAAGGGGCCCGACAGACCAAGTTAAAGAAGAATATGTTCGAACTACATTGCAAAAACAAAGAGAGTCTCTCCTGCCTCGCCTCCATTATCATCCCCTATTACTACCAAAACCCAGAGGCCTTAATTTAGACCCTCAGACCATGGAGATCCTTACTGCCACCCATGATGCCCTGAACCACTCTAATCCTTCCCTAGCAGAGGACTGCTGGCTGTGTCTTGCATTAGGAACTTCATGGCCTCTAGTTATACCTTTAAACAATGAATCTAATATACTCCCCTCTCCAGATAACTGTAGCTATTCCACGCCTTTTAAGGTCCTGCCCCGTTACTTCAATACATCTGTTTGTCTTTTTAATCCTTTTCAAAATAATTCCTTTGATGTAGATCTTGGATTAGCTATGTTTACTACCTGCTCTAGGTTCGTCAAGACCTCTCAGACAGGCTGTTTGGGGGGGGGGAGAATTTATGTATATGGAAATAACATGGCCTATCCTTATTTACCCACTAATTGGACTGGTTCATGTGCCCCCGCATTGCTTTTGCCAGACATAGACATAATTC